CCTAGATTCAGCCTGTGGTCTAATGTTGTTTCTTCTCAGATCAAAAGACTCCCTTTAATAAGTCTTGTAAGTTTGGTTTGGTTTTTACATAGTCTCTTAATTTCTGTTTATCTGGAAATGACCTAATTTCACCATCATATCTGAACGAGAGTTTTGCAGGATATATTATTCTTGGTTGGCAATGTTTTTCTTTCAAGGTTTTATATATGTCATTCCATTGCCTTCTTGCCTGCATGATTTCTGCCAGATAATCTGAGCTTAGTCTTATTGTTTCTCCTCTGTATGTGCCTTTTTTTTTTCTTGAGCTGCTTTCAGGATTCTTTGTCTTTGCTTTTGGAGAGTGTGATTATGATATGCCTTGGTGATTTTCATTTGGGGTCTCTCCTATATGGGGTTTGTTGTGCTTCTTGGATGGTCAGCTTTTCATCTTTCATGGTGTTGGGGAACTTTTCTGTCAGCAATTCTTCAATGATCCTCTCTGTGTTTTCTGTTTTCTCCCTGTTCTGGAACTCCGATCACTCGCAGATTTTTGCTTTTGATTGTATTCAACATAATTCTCAGGGTTTCTTCATTTTTCTTTGTTCTTTTTTCTGATATTTCCTCAAACAGAGTTGTATCCAAGTGTTTGTCCTCAGTTACACTGAGCCTGTCTTCCATCGTTTCAAACCTGCTCCTCAGCCCTTCTATGACATTGTCCATTTCTGAAATCTTGTTGTTTATTTTTTGGATTTCTAGTTGTTGTTTTTGTATGATTTCTAGTTGTGAATTTATTTTAGCATTTTGTTCCTGTATTATTTGCCTGAATTCTTCCATTTTTTTGTCTTTATTTTCTATGAATTTGTCTGCCTTTTCCATGAATTTGTCTATTTTTTCCTCATTTTTGTCTGCTTTTTGCTTCAACTCTTGGATAATTCTGAACATTAGAGATTTGAATTCCCTATCAATTAGGCCTAGTGCCTTTTCTTCTACTGGAAGGTCATCTGGTGTTTTATTTTGGATGCCTACTGGAACCATCCTGTCCTTTTTTTGTATATGTTTTGATATTGTCTGCTTTCTTTGGGCATTCAGTGGTTATTTTCCTCATTTATTGATTGTAGATTTTTTTGTTTCTTCATGCTTTTTTGTTTTATTTGGTTATGTCTGAGCGGGTTGGCTGTGCGTTCTTTGTTGTTTGCTCATCTGTAGGCATGATACTTTTCACCTCCTTCTCCAATAGGCAGGGTCAGTCACTCAGGTATGGTACAGCAGGGCAGGTCCAGCTGAAGGGAGCTGCTGGGATAGGTTGTTTGTGGCATGTATTAGGGTCAACAGGGCGGACTGGGAATCAGTGTAGGGCAGGTTCTGATAGGTCATGCCTGTGCTGCTTGGGAGTGTGATGTTCAGTGCATGGTGCAGGTAGGTAGGAAGGAGGGAGGAGATTGTGATGTGTGGAGCTAAGATGGGTATGGGAAAGAGGAGAGAGATGAGAGAGAAACAGGAACCAAAAACATACACACGAACAAAAAAGAATGCTAAGTGAGCTTGCTATTGGAGTGGAGAGATGAGAGACTGAGAAATGGAGAAAAACTGAAAGAAAAAGAGTAAAAGAAAAAAATGAATAAATAAAAATTAGAGGAAAAAAAGAAAGAAAATCCTCCAGGGATCCCACTGGTGTGGCTGCTAGGACTGTGGAAGTTGCTCCTGGGCCGTGAAATACAGCTTGGCTAGAAGAGGTAGAGGTGTAACACAGCTCCAGGTATTCAGAAGACAGGAAGAGAAGGTAAGTATAGTGAGATAAGACACTAGAAATGAAGAAAGACAAAAAGGGAAAAAGAGAGAGAAGAAAGCAAAACAAAGAAACAAAAAGAACCAACCCCCCCCCCAAAAAAAAACCAAGAAAAGAGAAATGCCCGTAGGGATGTCACTGTGCATCTGCACAGAGTAAGGGAGTAGCTCCAAAGCCACGTACTACTGTCCGGTTAGAAGAGGCTCCCAAGCCGAGAAAAGAAAAAGAAAACAAACAAACAAAGAAATCAAAACAGAACAAATCAGAACAAACAAACAGACAAAAGCCCTGGGGGTTCCACCAGCGTGGCGGCACAGGCCAGGAAGTAGGTTCACAGTTGAGTCATGTTTCATAGCCTTTCAGAAAGAAGCAAAGATGGCACACAGAGTCAGGTATTTGAGAGAAATGAGGGGTAGGTGGTGAGAGGTAAGGAAGAAGTCTAATGAAGCAGAAAAAAGCACCAGCAGCCAACAGATGGCACTCAGGGAGCTGGCCAGTGCAGTCAGGTGGAATCCAAGCAACACCGGGGTGAAGTTTATGCTTCTCAGCCAAGAGACTGTGGCTGCAGGAAGCAGCGGAGGCCGAGTGGGAGTGAAGAAGCGTGGGGGTTGGGAAAGCATATATCGCTGGTTACCGGTTGTTCTGTCTCCTGCTGGAAGCTGTGTGAAGCTGCTTTCTCATACCTTCTGTTTGCTGATCTTCGATAGGAGTCCAACATGGCGGATCCATGCTGTATTAACTAATAGGGGACCTCTGCATGTATCTCCCCTGGATCTCTGTTCTTGGTCAGTTTCTTATTCCATTTGGTGCTTGGGTGAATTCTTTATCTCTTCATTTGATGCTTAAACTTTCAGGATTCACGTGTGACTCTGTTTGACTTAGTTTTTCAGATCTTTGCTGTGAAGGGACGGCATGGTGCTTCTGTCTATAGCACCATGTTGCCCGTAAGTCCCTATATAATATATATATATATTTATATGTTAGGTGCTGCAAACAGTTAAGCACTTGACTATAGTCATGCATCACTTCATGTCCATGATACGTTCTGTGAAATAAGACGTTACGTGATTTGGATGTTGTGCAAACACCATATTATGGATGAAATTCCTTTCAGGCATTAACTTCCAGAATAAGGCGGTTTCGTCCTTATTAAAAATTCGCTGGGGCAAATAACCTCCCTCTACAATTAGTTTACTCAGATTTCAACAAATTCTTCTGTTGCTTTCACATCAGCACTCAAAGACTCACCACTCACTTTCACGTTTATGCAGCGAAAAATGTTTAAAGCTCTTGAACCACCCAGAGCTGGCTGTAAACTCGATATTGTAGTCTGGTCCTACTTTTTCTTCAAGCGTCTTGAAAAGGCTTCGTGCCTTAGCAGTGATCGGCAATATGCTGAGAGGGATTAGCTTTTGTGTTTAGTTCTCAATCCCTGTCGTTACCAATTTCTACATATTTGATAGAGGTCCCTCTCACTTTTTTGTTAGCCTTATAGCTTTCAGTGGAGCTGATCCTTTAATAGCTTGGAGAATTTTTTCTTTGTTTTTGAGGAGTGGCATGATTGTTGAGTGCAAATGCCTAAATCCTCTATATCCCACTCTCCAATTGGGATTCCTGAACTCTGTTATAACTTTGTGGGACCACAGATGTATGTGCAGTTGACTGTTGACTGAACAGATGCTATGTGGCTCATGACTGTACTAGCAGACTAGTTGGTGGTTCAAACACACTCAGAGGTGCCTTGGAAGATATGTCTGGTGATTTGCTTCTGAATGATCACAGCCCTGAAAACCCCAAGTAACAATTCATGGGATCACCATGAGTCATAATCAACTTGACTACAACTAACAACAAAAGCATTATAAACTTTACCAAAATTAAGAATGTATTGTAAACAATTTGCAAATAATAATAAAGGACACCTGTTGCTGTCAAGTCGATTCCAACTCATAGCAACCCTATAGGACAGAGTGGAACTGCACCATAGTGTTTCCAAGGAGCAGCTGTTGAATTCTAAAAGGAGACACTACTCTTTATTGCAAATTCCATTTGGCCAATTGATTCTCACAGTATGCTTCCATTGAATTTTACCAAACTGTTATATCTATGGTCAACCTAAGATTGCAACTGATGACTGAATTAGTTCCAACATGAATGTTGGTTGATATTTTCCTTTACCTTAATGAGTACGAGAAAAGTAAAAACAACTAAGATTTATGTCAAAACTTCATTCTTTTATCAATGATGCAAACAAATTCTTTGCTGAATCAGGTATTAGTTCTTAAATGCTGGAAGAATATTTTCTTGATTTTTAAAATATTATCCATTATGTAATGGCTACAGATGTGACATAGCTTTAAATTTAATCTGCATTATTAACTTCAAGACCATTAATAATACTAAAATGTAGTAAGCAAATTAGGAAGTGATCAGTTCTGAGAATTCATTTCCTTTGTTTTTAATGTATTTACTTAATTGCAAGTTTATATAATTTATTTTTAATAATAGCTCTGCTTAGCTGACTTTCATATTTAACAATTGCCTCTTGCAAGCCAGTATGAACCAGCTGCAGCGACCACTGGTTGAGAGGGTAAGCACATTAAGAAGGTGCCAGTCTTTGACCGCCTCTGCTACATGCCTTGTGGGGTTGCTTTCACGCTGTGTCCTCTTACATCTTCTCATAATCCTAACAGCTATCATGCCAACACATCACTTTTAAAAAAATTGTTCAAAAGCTCTGCTTTTGGAGAATGTACTTAAGGGGAGCAACTGCTATCTACATTTCAGTTGCCACCTCATTGACACTGCTCTTGTCAAGTCCACCGATGACATCCTTGTGGCTGACAACAATGGCCACGTCTTTCTCTCTCCTCATTGTACTTGAGTCTCTCAACAGCACTAGCCTTCCTCAAAAGGTGTCTTTTCTTGGCTTTTGTGATACTACACTCCTGGATTATCTACCACTTCAATGAATACAGCTTCCCTATTTCCTAGAATGTTCCAAGGCTTATTCTTGGATTCTATTGTCTTTTCAATCTACACCAACCCCCTATATGATTTCGACAAGTCCTACGGCTTTAGTACTATCTGTATGCTGATGAGTCCCAAATTTATATCTCTAGCCTTGATCTGTGTCCTGGGCTGTGGAATTGTAACTACTCAAGATCTTCCTTTGGGTATTTAATAGGACTCAAACTTAACATGCCCAAACAGAACTCTTAATTCCACCAAATCTGTTTGTTGTTTCTCCAGTTCTATAAATCTCCAAATACTCAGGAAATTTAATAAATACTGAGGGCCTACTTTGTGCTACTTACTGTATTAGTCACTTGGAATACATCCGTGAACAAACAAAAACTTCTTCTCTCATGAAGCTTGTATTCTATTCAAATTGCACTATTCACCTCATTTCTCAAGACAAAGACCTGGAGTTATCTTCAACTTATCTATTTCTTCCACTCTTTACATCCAATACATACAGAATTCCTATTGACTCTACCTCCAAAACATAGTCTTGAATCTCTTCTCTACATCTCTAGTGTAGCCACTGTCACTAAGCAATGTCCCCACTTTCGTGGATTACTACAAGGACTTCATAACTTACCTTCTTGCTTCCATTCTTGCTGCCCACCCTCCATCCCATTCAGCTTCACACAAAAGTAAGGGAGTTGTCTTAAGAATGTAAATTTTATTATGTAATTCTCCTGCTTAAAATGCTCCAGTGGCTTCCCATTTCTGAGAGAATCCAAAGTCTTATATGATTTGGCTCCTGCTCATTTCTTAACTTCACCTCTAGCCACTTTGTCGCTCAATTGCTTGTTCCAGCCACACTGGTCCTTCCGTGGCTCCAGCAATGGCAAGCTTGTGGTCACCTCAGTGCCTTTGCATTTGCTATTCCTTTTACCTAGGATACTTTGCCCTCAGATCTTCATATGATTTTGACTTTTCCTTGTTATTCAGATCTCAGCTCAATATCAGTAACTCAGAAAGATCACTTTAAACAGTGACCAAGCCAATTATTCTCTACCGTACAACTCTGCTTTATTTTTTTCACCCAGAACTTTTCACAATCTAAAATTATGATATTCATTTATGTTTTTATTTGCTTTTTGCCTGTCTCCCCAGAGTGTGCACTTTAGAGAACAGGCACCTTGTCTGCCTTGATCCCTGCTGTATTTCCTATACTTCTAACAATGCCTGGCATATCAGAGGTCATTAAATATTTCTTAAGTAAATTGATTGAAAGAACCCCTTTAGACAGTCTTTACCGTGAACAGAGTTTTCCTTTGCACAGAGCCAATCTTTCTCTGTGTAACCTTCATGCATCTCAGCTCTGCCATTTGAGATGGCGCAGAATAGGCTGATTTTCCTCCCCAGGACAGTCCTTCAGATATTTGAGAACAGCTCTCATTCCTTCTGTGATTTTTCTCTTCTCCATAATGAGCATCTCCAGATTTTTCTCTATTTTTTGTTGAATAACTTGATTTTTTTTTGTTTTATGATTAATTAACGTGTGTCCATTATAAAAAGAAAATGGAAAACATTGCAATACATAACAGAAAAACAATCATCTTTATCTTACTACCCAGAGATAAGAAATTAAAGCATTTTGATATACAGGTGGTCTCTGACTTACCACATATTCGAGTTACAACGAACTGCACTTACGACCTTCTGGTTTTTTGTTTTTGGTACATCTTATTGTTGGTAATATATACTACATACAATGTTAAAATATATCTGTAAGTTTATATGTAATGTTTCCGACCCTCAAAGACCATTGGATTTATAAAGATACTGATGATAAAGGGCAATAACAATGAAAACTAAAAAAAAAAAAAGAGATTTGAATCCACCAGCTGCTCCACGGCAGAAAGATGTGGCAGTCTGCTTCTGTAGAGATTACAGTGTTGGAAACCATTTGGGGAAATTCTACTCTGTCCTGTAGGGTTGCTATGAGTCGGAATTGACTGGACAGCAATGGGTTTGGTTTTTTGGTTTTATATACATATATGTGTGTGTGTATATACATATGTGTGTGTATACGTGTGTGTGTGTGTCTGTGTGTGTGTGTATCTGGGTGGTGCAAACGGTTAAGCACTGGGTTACTGTCTGAAAAGTTGGTGGTTCGAATCCATCCAGAGGTGTATGGCAATCTACTTTCTAAAGATCACAGCTATGAAAACCCTATGGAGCCTTTCTACTCTGAAACACACGGGGTTGCTGTGAGTCAGAACTGACTTGAGGGCGACTGATAAATTTGCAAGTTTGATGGTAAATGACGCTGTGGTGAACATTGTTCCACATCTCTGATTTTAAGTTAGAATAAAAGTTTAGAAGTTTTAGAAGTGGAATAACTATCATAAGGTATGAACATTTTTCAGTCTTCTCATATTTATTGCCTAATTGCCCTGCAACGGCTTGCATCAACGTACATTCCTCCAAGCAGTGTACGAAAGTGTGCTTTTCATCACACCCTTATGTACAACTTAATAGTTTTTGCCCTTTTAAGAGGTAAAAAATGATTATCTTGTTGTTCTACATCATTTCTTTTAGGAATTCCTCATATGACTTGGGTTTGAATTCTTACATTGTTTTGTTCCCTTAATTTGTGATGCACTCCAGTTTGTCTGTTTCTTCACATGTGTGGGTCCAAGAAGTTGCCATCCTTTTGATGAAGAAGGAGATATTTTCCTGTCCCATAAACCAAAGCCTTGAATTTCTCTTGTAGTGAGTCTGAATGGTGCCTACTCCAAGCTGGTGCCTTTCAGACCCGCGGGACGGCTGATCTCCCCACCTCAGCTGCTCTCTGTGATCCTCAACGTCCTCCTCAGCCTGGCCATGCACATCGTGGGCTTTGTCCTGGTGCAGAGGCAGCCTTGGTATTCTGTGAAGATGCACAGGTACAACGCCAGCCCCAACACCAGCTTCTCACATTCTAATCTCTATAAAACACCATCTGGCCAATGTGAGGGGAGGCAAATGGTTCTTCATTCTGCCAAAGGCTTTGGCTTCCTTAGTCCCATGAGCAAGTTTCCAGTGACCTCCCCTCTTCTCTATAGCAGGTTGATGGTATCATTCATTGGCACTTGTCTTCACCCGGTTTGAACGATAGTCATTTGTGGTCATCTTTTATATCTCTGGTGACCATGCATTATCATTTGCTTGGGCAGCCTCAATTTAAACTTGATGTCCTGAAATTAAAAGTCTTTCTCTTCCACTTTCAAAACTGTCCCTGTTAGATGATAAATTATACAGTCACCCTACTTACATGTTATCAGAGAGATTAAGCCACTTGAGGGTAAAATCATGGCTTAATCATATCTTTTTCTACCAGAAAACTTTAATAGGTGCATAACAATTTGTCCAATAAGTGACTGAATTAGTCTGTCCATCTGTCCATCCGTCCATCCATCCATCCATCCATCCATTCATCCACCTAAAATACAGACCTATACGTGCTGCTTTCTTTCTCTTTATTTTTTGGTATATTCTTTTCCAATATTTAGGCAATAATATAAGCATTTAGTGTCTGCTCTGGACATGGTCTAGAATGGTGTAATATAGATATAAATGCTCCAAAAGGGACTGTCATCTTACTTCATTTGCTTCTTTGGTTTCCTTTTAGTGCCTGCACAGTGAAAAATGAAAGCATCTCAAAGTTAACCGTTTCTCCAACTGCTCCAGAAAAAATTGAAAGTAATAGTGCCATCATGAGCTTTGAGAACACTACTGTATGGTTCTTGGGAACGATCAACTGTATCATGGTGGCTGTTATATTCTCTAAAGGAAAGCCTTTTAGGCAGCCCACCTATAAAAACTGTGAGTACTGGGTCAGAGGTGAGAGGTCGTCAAAGAGGAGAACAGACTTGCCTAGGTCACTCAGGGAGCAGCTACAGAGTCTGCTCAGCTCTGGGATCTCTTCACTCCCACGCCAATGCTCTGTCATATACACTGTGCAGCCTTGTTCTCAGCGTCCTTTGCATCTTCCTGAAAAGCTTTATACAGCATCAGGGCTTCATCTTCCACCTATTCCCTTCACCAATTTTTCTCTAGGTGACTTTTCATGTGGATACTCCAAATTGGGAAGACCCATTTATTTCTCTACTTGTCAGTACTTGTCAAAATGTAGAGGAGGCAGGGAAGAGTCACAGCACTCTGTTGGAATTCGTCTCCTGCTATGGTCAGGATGGCATTTTATGGTTCCCAGGCTGGGAGTGGATTCAGCCTGGAGCAGCCTCGAGAACTGTGGAGACTCTTAGCCAAAGTACCTCCTTGCATTCTGGGGTTGGGAATTGTATTTGGTGGGGAGGTATGTGACGTGGTTGGCCTAAGGAGCATTTATTTGCATACCATAACTACCCCTCCAATTGCGAAAATGCAGAAGCAAAAGTTGAAGAATCAATATCCTCATAAAGATGTGTTTGTTCCAAGAAATTTGTTTTGTCCTTCTCCTTGGGATGAGGAAGCAGGCAAATGCTGACCTCTACATGATTTGCCATTAAAAAATTATTGATTTACAGCCCTCATTTTTTTTTTTTTCCAGAAAGGGATTTGAGGCAGCTGGCTTGCATTAAAGAGTCTCAGATACTTGCATGCCTTCAATGCATATTTTGAAAATACATTTTGTTAATAAATGGAGCCCTGTTGGTGCAGTGGTTAAGAGCCATAGCTGCTAACCCAAAGGTCGGCAGTTCAAATCCACCAGCAGCTCCTTGGAAACCCTACAGGGCAGTTCTACTCTGTCGTATAGGGTCTCTAGGAGTTGGATTTGACTCAATGGCAACGGGTTGAGTTTTTTTGTTGTAGTTGTTTACCTAATAAATATTTTTCGGTTATACTAATTTAAACTTACAATATGCATGTGAAAATTTCCACTTGCCTCAAGGACATGCACAGAAGTTGTAGAGGTGAGACCCATTGCATAGAAATGAGTACTTTCCATCTATTATGCTGTGTTTGGATGTAGAAATCAAGTAAATGTAATCAGTGTTAATCTAGAATATGTCTATCAATAGATGTGACATTCTGTACTCTGATTTTTGAAAATGATAGTTGTGTCCTTCTTTCCTCAGATATATTTGTCCTTGTGCTGATCGTACAGTTGGGTGTGTGTCTGTTCATTCTATTTGCTGATATTCCAGAATTATACAGGCGTTTGGATGTAAGTAGTGTCAACGGGATTGATGATGTTTTATGGTTATCTAACACTTTGACTTCAGAAAGCAGGTCACAATTGCAATTGACTGGAATTCTTGACACCAGTTATTCTTCTGGGATATCCGAGTTGAAAAGCATGCTAGACTTATCCATATTTTTTTGTTTAAGCTGGTCAGGAAATAAAATTCAGTCTAGTCTTGATTTCCTGAGACTAGAGGCACTCTTTCAAAAGTATTGAACATTTTTTTCCTTTAAAAGATCCTTGTAAGATTGGAAAGTCTATTTATATATTTTGTCTTTCAAATATGAGGGAATTTTACCCCTAAATGCTTGTTTTGAAGTTGTTTAAAACAGTTTTACCTAGAACAGTTCTTCTGTTAATTCTCAAATCTGTATTTACATCTTTTGTTCGCTTCTTTAAAAATGTGTTTTTTATATGCTCAGACTTAATGTCTGCAAAACTTACCTTCAAATAGCCATACTTTACCTCGTGACCTCTCTCACATTTTATAATACTGAGACAACTTTGAAATCCTGCAAGATACAGAAAATTTACATATTCAAGCAAGTGGAAAACACATACTGTGTTTCTCTAAACTATCCTACTTTTGAACCACTGCTAAATGTCCTTGGGAATCTGTGGGTGGTACAAACGGTTAACATGGGCCAGGGGTTTGAATCTACCCAGAGCCACCTCAAAAGAGTTGCCTGGAGATCTACTTCCGAAAAATCAACCACCGAAGACCCTAATGAGCACAGTTCTGCTCTGACACACATTAGTTGCCATGAATTGGAATCAACTTGATGACAACCGGTTACTGGTTAAATGTCCTTTACACCAATAAATAGAATACAGAAGAGATGAAAGGAATTTTTTTTTAACTCAGTACTTTGTATACCCCTTTGCCTCTTCACCTCAAACAGCATTTTCATGAGGGTCAAGATCATATCTTATTCTTGTGTTACCAGTGTTTTGCATGGTGAATGGCACATAATGGTGAATGACTGACTAATCATCGTTCCTAACGTAGACGCACACTTAGCATGCACAGCACATTCCAAAGCAGCAATACCTTGACAGAACCCATGGTGACTTTTGACGTATGTTATGGATTGAACTGCATCCCCCAAAAGTGTGTGTCAACTTGGCTAGGCCATGATTCCCAGTATTGTGTGGCTGTCCACCGTTTCATGATTTGATGTGACTATCCCATGTGTTGTAAATCTTACCCTCTATAATGTTAATGAGGCAGGATTAGAGGCAGTTATGTTAATGAGGCAGGACTCAATCTACAGGATTAAGTTGTATCTTGAGTCAATCTCTTTTGAGATATAAAAGAGAGAATTGAACAGAGAGGAGAGGGTAGGATGCCACCAAGAAAGAAGTGCTGGGAGCAAAGCATATCCTTTGAACCCGAGGTCCCTGTGCGGAGAAGGTCCTAGACCAGGGGAAGATTGATGACAAGGACCTTCCTCCAGAGCCTAGTGGTTAAGCATTTGGCTGCTAACCAAAAAGCCGGCAGTTCAAATCCACCAGTCATTCCTTGGAAACCCTATAGGCAGTTATACTCTGTCCTACAGGGTCTCTGTGAATCGGAATCGACTCGACCGCAACGGGAACAGGATACACAAGTACATGTATTTCTTTATATCTATAGTCTTCCCCCACATTTTTAACAAAACATAGCACTGTGTGTACAGCTGCACAGGTTGTGTTGTCCACAAGGGTGCTTGCCAAAGGAGCAGGTGGGGCTGAAATCAAGCTTGCCACTACTTGTCTCTTTCCCCACTTCCTCTGCACCCTCCCAACCCCTTCCTCAGGCCTAGCACAGTGCGTGGTGCATACGAATGTTTGATGGATGGATGAATGAATGGATGAACAAATAAAACGAATCCAAGTACATTCTATCGTACTCAACGCTGCCTCTTAGATGGCCTCATACACTGGTGGGAGTGAAAACTGGTACAACTCTATGGAGGGCAATAGCTATCAAAATTAAAGATGCAAATCAATTTCTAGGAATTTATCCTTGAAGATATGATCGTACATGGATGAAATGATATGTTTACAAGGTTATTTACTATAGCTTTTTTTATAACAGTAAAAAGTCGGAAACATCACAAATGTCAATCAGTAGGGGACATCACACATACATTATGGTATATATACACAATAAGGTACCATACTCGTGTACTGTGTTCCCCCTGAGGCCACACTGCCCATAGGCTACCCTCAGCCAATAACTGAGACCAGCAGGGATTCTAATCAGGCTCAATCCTGTGAGACACCAGACTCCTCTGATGATCAACTTGCGCTCAACTTTCTGAGAACTGTGCTGCAGTCTGAGACTCTAGGCATACAGCCTGCTTCCTTCCCTCTCTCCCTCACAAGGCTCAGACTCACATCACAGTGTGATGACTCTCCCTACCTCTTCTGACCTCCTACACTTCTTCTCCTGCAAACATTTCTCCCAATAAGCCTCTTGCATGCCTCTTGCACGCCTTGACATCTACATCTCAGAAGACCTGAACAATGCAATATTGTTCTTAGTTACCATTGAGTCAGCTCTGATTCATGGTGACCTTATGTGTAACAGTCATGCTTCACCTTCATGATTGCTGTTATTTTGAGTTATCGGACAATGTTCTGTTGTGATCCATATGGTTTTCATTAGCTAAGTTTTGGAAGTAGATCCCCAGGCCTTTCTTCCTAGCCTGTCTTAGTCTGGAAGCTCTGCTGAAACCTGTCCACCATGGGTGACTCTGCTGGTATTTGAAATATCAGCGCCATGGTAACATGCAAGCCACCATACTACAACAAACTGACAGACTCAATGACAGAGCTCGGCTGAGGAAAGATGTGGCGCCAGAGAAAAGAGCAACAGGGTCTAATGTGGAGATTTAACTTGTATACCCGCAGAGCCTCCTGGGAATAAAGCTATATTCTTGTGTTGTTATTATTGTTAAGTGCCGTCGAGTATATGTTTCTGTATGTTATATACATGTTTTATAACCTATGAAAATGTACACTATGAAAACGTGAACATCTTTCCAGTGTATATTTTTCTTCACACTACTTCTTTGTCTCTCTCCAGCTGCTGTGCACCCCTGTCCTGTGGAGGGTCTACATTGTCATTATGCTCGGCTCCAATTTCTTTGTGTCCCTTGTTGTGGAGGTAAGTGCTCTCAGACTGCTGATCACGCTGGAGTAGGGGTTGGGTGGGCAGGGGTAACCAGCTTTAGCTGACAAGGGTTTAACAGTGCAAAGAGCTCCCTTCCTTCACAACATGAGCAATTTTCTCTGAGGAGTTCCAAGCAAGGCTTTAGTTTTCCCATCTGTAAAGCAGGCCTGGGGAGAATGAATTAAATGATCTCTCCTGTTCCTTTATAAAATCCCCAAAATGAGACCCAACTCATGTTATTTTTTAAAATTGAGATATGGTTCATATGCTACAACATCCACCCTTTTAAAGTGTAGAGTTCAGTGGTTTGTAGTATATTCACTGAGTTGTGCAACCATCACCACGATCTAATTCCAGAGCATGTTCCAAAACCAAATCCATTGTCATCTAGTCGATTCTGACTCGTAGCAACCCTAAAGGACAGAGTAGATCTGCCCCATAGGGTTTCTAAGGAGCAATTGGTGGATTTTAACTGCTAACCAGCCAAGCTCTTAACTACTGTGTCACCAGGGCTCCAAGGCATGTTCATCACCATAAAAAGAAATTCCATCCTCATTCCCTTCTCCCCAATCTCCTGGCGACCACTAATCAACTTTTTGTCACTATAATTTGCCTATTCTCAGCATTTCATATAAACTGAATTGTACACTGTTTGGCCATTTGTGTCTGGCTTCTTTCACATAGCAACTTCAGCATTTTTATTTTACAGAAATGAGATTCATAGTGAGCTTTCCCTACATTTAGTCTTCAGCTTCCGTTTGCTCCATTTTCTCAGTAGTATGAGGTTGTTCTCTCCCTTTCTTTCTCAGTGGTGTGAGACCCAATCTGCATTCTTTAAAGCTCATTGTTGGGCAGGGGGCATCCCTGCAAAGGCATTTATGAAGAAGTAGAACTGAGATACAGGATTCCATCTGTCCTTATTGCCTCTCTCAGTTACAAACCCAGGGTGGTACCAGCAAAGGGGGTACCCATGATAGGCTGTGAGCACCTAGAGCCTGACCACCCTGCAGTATTCTGTATGTGGTAGCTCAGTGAAGCTTCCTCACTAAGTAGGTTAAAGGCTGCCTAGGAGCTGGCGGTAGACTAGGACATAGAGTTAGGGTGCTGAAGATGGTTTCAGGGTTGGGTTAGCAACTCAACAGTGTCATTAAGTATCCCAGTTCTTTAACCTTTCTGTCCCTTCATTCTTAGATGTTAGCCTTTCATGTTTGTGCTTGTTGCTTAGGTCACGAGATAGCTCCCACATAGCTGGGCACTGTATCTGTTTTTAGTGCAGAGAGAAAAGGGGAGGTCCCTTGAGTCTGAACCTTTTGTCAGGAAGCAAAAGAATTTCCTGCAGTCCACCAGCAGGCTTCCTCTTATGCTTCATTGGTTAGAACTGGGTCTTAGGGCCTCCCTGAGTAGGAAGGGGTTCTACGCTAGGAGGATAAGAATGTCAGGTGCATGAAGCTCACAATATACAGGGAGAAAGGACAAATTATGTAGTTATTTGTGTATGCATTTCTTCTCTCTTCTGCCATAAACTATGCTGGCAAGAACTGATCTCAGTAGCTATAGCACCTAAAACCCTGCTTTATTCCAGTAGGAACTGGGTAAAGGTTTATTCGATTATTAAATTTAAGAATGACTCTGCTAAGCCCCAGCAGAGAGAAAGGGTATAATTTGATGTTCATGAAAGATGAAGCTGCTCCTTTATTTCTCGTGTTGAGTGAGAAATAGAACAGCCCTCGTGGATGTTTAGTGTGGGTTCCTAGCAGCTTCCAAAAGGAGACACAACATGTCAGAGTACCAGTTCCCACTCTGTGCTCTACCCCTGCAGGTGACCAGAACAGTCTCCAGAAGTTGGGAGTTACCTTTTTCCCTGCTATCACCAGGCTCTCAGGGATAAACCGAAACTCTGAGTCTTTAGTGAAGGTAGTTGCAATGGACACATACATTTCCTGCCTCATGGAGTGAGCCTAGCAGAGTGGCTAAAGACCCCAGACTAGCTTGGTTGTAGCAAGATGTTTTCCTCAGGTGACTCAGGGTTGTCAGCAGATTCCAAGGATGCCTGGGATGGGCCATGCCTTATCCAGTTCTAAGGAGAAAGAGTAGTCTTTGTTAATTAAGGAGGACACAACACCTTGCTGTGGGAAAATAGAATAACAGGTTTGGCTAGGTAAGCCCCAAGGTTTGCGAGATGCTGATGAGATGGTTGTATGGGGCTTGAATAGCTTGCCAGCTTATGGTTACTTATCAGAGGAAAGATTTAGCCTAGCTGTTCTTCATCATTTTCGTGAGCAGTGGGACTCAAATCTCAAAGACTACTGTCTCTGACAAAGTTCCTTGTAGACTCCCACAGAATTAACTCTTACAATTTAGAAAAATAACTCATGGGCTCCAAAACAAGCTGTAATTCTGTAAGACAGCTTAGTTCCTCATGGTTTTTCTTAGTTTCTTTCATGCTAATTTGTAAGATGGTCAACCTTTGTGACCAAATATGATAAAAATGAAACCGATAACCCCCAGGCACTCTATATTGTAGGTTATATCTTGGGTCCTGTTCGAGGCTTAGCCTAACTCAGGAAATAAAATGGCAGTCAAAAATGTTCTCAAAGACACATGCCTTTTGCAGTCTTAAAAAAAGGCATTGCAATGAAATATTTGCAGGTGAAGGCTAGAGACATATGTGATTGCCTTGAATCAGGCCACAGTGCACAGCCATTTGGTAAATGAGTAGTTTAGACAGGTAGGGAGAGGAAGGAAGAAGGCTATACCATACCGTGGCCTGCATTGTAAGGTGGGCAATATAATCCATACTACGAATGTAAGAGGAAGGAATTATTACTTCTAAATCACTAAGGCTTAGAAAGGGTGATTAATTTGCCTATAGTAGGAGTCAGAGCTGAAACTTGAGTCCAGATTTGTCCAACTCCAAGACTGTGGCCTACATTCCAATTTCATCCACCTATGTTCATGATTATGCAGAGATGTACCAGGGTGTACCAAAGCCCCAGTATACCCATAGCACATCTTACTATAGGGTCAGTTTTATTTAGTGCTAATAATTTTAATTGTCATTTTACGTTAAATCAAATACAGATATGGTATGGAGTGGAATGCAAAATTTGAATGATTTTCAATGTAATTTAAATATGAGACTCAAATTCATCTTTGAGGTAGGCCTCTTCAAACTCTGTCCCTAGATTCTTGAATCTGTGTGCCTTGCTTTTCTTCTAGAAGGGCTATTGAAGTGAAAAAGTTTGAGAAGCTGAGAGCTACCCCATGAAACCACTTTGGTTTTGGCCAGGGCTCAAGTTCTTTGTCAAGCTGGATTTAGACAGCTGATGCAGTAGTGGCTCATCGTGGTCTATGGGGGGTGGGCATAGCCTGGAAATCCTTGACCTCTAATTGTAGAGAGTAACCCTTTTATTTTGCAGGAGACCATTATTGAAAACCGAGCTCTATGGATGGTAATCAAAAGGTGTTTCGGCTATCAATCAAAAAGCCAGTATCGGATATGGCAGAGGGCCTTGGCAAAGGACCCCAGTTGGCCCCCATTAAACCAGACCTTCTACTGTGACCTGCCAGGGTGTGACAGGGGAGTATCTTACAGCAATCCAGTGTTTGAGAGCAATGAAGAACAACTATGAAGGAAATGTGATATCTGAAGCTGATAGAACAGAGAAACAATGACAAAAGGGACCAATTTCAGTGATTTTTAAGCAATGAGATTCTTAGGATATCAGCTGGAGTTTGGGGTATACCTATCAAATAACGGTGAAAAATTAAAGTGTGTTTGATAAGATGCTTTCTACAGGCAGAACATTGCCCCGGCACAGTGCTTTCCTTTTGCTTCTGAAAGTATTGGGAATGTTCAGTGAATCATGAATGGGCCAAGGATGACAGAGTTTGGGGGATAAAAAAGAAGGATAATATGCATTTTTTCTCCTTAGGATATAGATATTTTTTTCTTTATGGGTTGAGGGGAAGTAGCATTATGTATACTCATAGAATTGTAATATGTCAAAGATTATTTTTGAAACTTTATTGATGGAAAAACTAATGCATGGGAGCCATCCCACCAATCTTCACTGCCTGGTTTCCTTGTGTTTGTAGAACTTTGTGAATTTGAGGCTTTTCCTTCTACTTCTGGCCTTCCCCTATGTATTAGTCAGGATAGGCTAGGAGTATGCTGCAATAGCAAACAACCCCCATATCTCAGTGGTTTCACACACAAGAGCTTATTTCTTGGCCCACTATGAGAATAGCTGTCCTTATAGTGGTGACTGCTCCAATCTGATGGTTGTGCGGATTCAACACAAGGGCTTCATATTTACTGTGGCCAGGAAGGGAAGAGACTGGGGATCACACAGGGCTTTCACTGCCTCACCTCCAAAGTGGCACACATTGCTTTTACACATCAATTCTCATTAGCCAAGGATTTGGCAAACAAGCTGCAAAGTCTCCAGTATTCAGGGTTGGCTTCATGAGTGGGCATCATATGCAGTCACATGGGGCCCTGTGCTCAGAGGTTTAATGCTCTGCTGTCACCATCTTGAAATTCTCAATTTTTGAACTAGGGACCCCACATTTTCATTTTGCACTGGGCCTCATGAGTTATGTAGTCAGTCGGGCCTGTATTCCTAGGGAAGAAAGGGAAGCATATTGGGGCATAATGTTGTCTGTGAAACTCTACCTCTCCCAACCCTATGAACTTCTGCCATGTTTTAGGAACCTCTCATATCACATACTCAACTCTAGCAGCTATCCACTTCTCTGCTCTATTAATTTTGAGGAACGTTAGTCGCGTGCTACAACCTTACATGTCATCATCAATGGAAGTCCTCATACAACCTATGCATTTCTTAAGTTTGAGGCTTCAGGGTCCAGAAAACTAAATTTCTCCTTTGTTTTAACACTACTACAATTTGGTCATATTGGTTTAATTCAACATAGCACAAGTCCAGTTTTCTGTTAGCGCAACAGACAACAGATTGTAGGAGAATGTGCACAAACAACATTTTAAAGCAAAAGCAAGATTTTCATTGTGAACATGAAATCCTAAATGCATGCTCTGAGCGGTGGGGTGAATGTCTTGGCCCAGGCTGGCTTTGCTACATCTGCCAGCATTCCCTTCCCTGGCAGAGCTCTTGAGCATGGTTGGTGGGTCTGTGACTGCAGATAATTCTGGGAATGTGGTGTTTCCCAGCCACGAGGGCAGTTTGTTGCTTACAGTTTTAGAATAGGGCATGGAGTCATTTCAGTGTTCCAAAGATGCAGAATCATTGTCTTCTTTGGTACAGAAAGAAGTGTCTCCTTTTACAATGTCAGCCGCAGCAATGACATGATGGCTCCTAATGTCTTGTTCTAAAGATAATTGTTTTTTGTTTCTTTCGTTTTTCTCTTGTTTTCCAAAAGGTGAGGGGTAGGGGCGAGTCGGAGATAGTCTACAACCTCATTATGAGCAGCAACAGTGTGCACAGTTCATATTTATAAGAGCCCCTTACAAAGTGCTTTCACTTCCGCCAGCTCATTTGAATTGCACAGTTCTCCTGTAAGTCAATAAAGGACTTATCATCCCTGACATATAATGGGAAAACTGAGATTCAGGAGGAGAAGAGCAGATCCAGCCTCAAACACAGATCTTTCCAGCAAACCTTATATTGCTTCCAAATACCTCTTAATGATGAAGCTGCAGTAGGGCAAGCTGTTCCTGTTTGGTCTCACAGGCAAGCAGAGAATGGGTTTCTCATATGCCAGGTGGAAGGAGGCAACCTTCTGTTCAGGTGAATGCCAGGTGCCTTGCCAGGCCTGGGCTAAGTGTGTTGAAAAAACCAGTACAAGACAAAAAGCAAATGTGTGTTTTTCATTCTGACTCTGAGTTGCTCTTGCCTTGGTCCTAGGTGAATCCATCCTTAGCAACCTAGAAGCAATTGGCGTGGCTGTGGGTGGAAGACCTGGTTCCCCACTAGCCAAGCAACACTAAAATCTCTGCCAAAAGGGCCTCATTTTGAAGACTGTACTTGGAATTAACTACATCTTAGAGTCTGCAAGCTAAGGAACAGGGAGTGCTTAGCCTGGATAAAAGAAGAGCTGGGGAACTGTGAGAGCTGTATTCAGTATTTGAAAGGTTATCATGGGAAAGAAGAATCTGACTGTGCTGGGTGGCACAAGAAAGCAACATCAGGACCAGTGAGTAAAGGTCACGGCGAAAACAACTTCAGGATAGCATGAAGACCACGGGTGGAAGAGGAAGCAGATGGCCTCAAGAGGTATGCACTCTGTGGCAGTGGAGAGTTTGAGTGGATAGTCAAAGACCAATTATAGGAGAAAGTCAAGTATCAAAGGAAACTCAATCACCTGCAAGCTCTTTCTCAGGCTCGATGTGCCCAGTGTCCCTGTCTTATGTTGTGGTATGAAACACTCACTACTTGGGCCCATACAGGATATCACACTGACGCTCCTGGGAGAGGGGGACGCGGAAGGATATAGTGGGGGGGGGGGCGGTGAGGATTTCCCCGGCCCTGTAATATCTCCCTGGATGGACGTACAGACTTAGCTGCTCTGTACCTTGGAAGGTGGCTCCTGATGAGGATAAGAACCTAGAAGAAAAGGTGGATAAGCGAGGCGTCCTGACTTCCAATTAACAGCTGAAGGGGTACTATTAATATGTGTATTAGAGTGAGGTGTTTGAAAAATTTGAATAAAGAACATAGGAGAAAGCCCCAAACCCTAAGACAGAGCTACCTGCTACCAATATGCTTTCCTGCCCAGGACTTGGAGGAGAAAAGGACACAGCCACAATTCTGATCATTTGAGACGACCCCTGTATGTTTACCCCAAGGTACTCAGCTCTTACTTGCAAAGAAGCAGCCTGACTCTAGGCTCCCCTCCCTCAATATGTAATGATCTGAGTATGGAAACCTGTCGATGCCATCTGTGTCCTTATGTGTGCATGGGAGTATACAGGTGCACCCTTGCAGGTGTAATGGCTGGAGAAAGAGATTATTTATTCAGAGCCTTGTATTTGGTTTATGCTGTAATAAATTATTCTGTATAAAAGAAGCAAGTAAAATCTATACTCCTGTTGGTCTACAATTGATCTCGCTTTCTGAGTCTTTCCCTGGTTGATAAAATGGGGGTGGTCTATTCCAATAATGTGGAAGCAAAGCAATATCTTTGCAAAGTTTCTCACATCTCCTAACACCACAGATACTATTATTCTTTGCTTTACACACAGTGCATGACCACTTACACAATGTTTTCATACTCATTCTCTCGTTTAAGCCTCATGACATGACAGTCTTAGGAGGAGGGCAGGGCAAGGATTATTATCCTCATTCTTTTGCTGACGTACCCGAGACTTCAAGAGGCTCAGCAGCTTGTCCGAGGACGCACGGCTGGTGAGTAGAGGAGCTAGATTCAGATGCAGGTTCTCTGCAACCTCATTCTTCCACGCTGTTTCCCCCTGGCCGAAAAGTTTGCGACACTGTAAAAAGGAAAAAAACTCAAGCAAGGCAACTGTGCGATGCAATTGCCACCATGAATATAATTCCCTCCAGAAAGAGTTTAGTTTCTCGTGGAAGTTGTCTTGAACCTGACCATCAGTCACAGAAAACGTCACCTCCCACAGCTAGGAGAGTAAAAGCACAAAACCAGAGCCCTCTGAATCTTTCTCATGGAATCACACGAAGCTCTAGTTTCTGATTTCAGGCTCCAGAAGCAGAAAGCTATGCCTCTGCTTGAACTCTGTTCAGCCCCTGCTTCTGTACAGTTTTTCAGGGTCATAGGGGCTCTCTCTCAGCCTTGCCTTGGGCTCACTTCTCTATGTATAAAAAAGTTGAAAACTTTCACACAGCTTTCTGTCTACCCTTTGTTTCCCATTGTTGTTAGTTGCCATTGTGTTGACTCTGACTCACGAAAACTCCACGTGCAACAGCGTGAACCACTGCCTCGTCCCGTGTCATCTTCAAGATCATTGATATACTTGAGTCCATTGTTGGGGCTACTGTGTATTTTGAGTGCCTTTTGACCTGGGGGGCTCATATTCCAGCACAATATCATACAATGTTCTGTAGTGATCCATAGGTTTCCATTGGTTAATTTTTCAGAAATAGACCACCAGGCTTTTCTTCCTATTCTGTCTTAGTCTGGATGCACCTCTGAAACATGTCCACCATGGACGACCCTGCTGGTATTTGAAATACCAGTGGCATAGCTTCCAGCGTCATAGCAATGTGCAAGCCACCACATTACAACAAACTGACGGACAGATAATGGTAATTTCCAATAGACTTGTTAAAATGACCCAGGGACACTGCATCAAGCTAAACTTCCTGTTATTCCTGGTACTTACTTTCCCATTGCAATACCTTTGCCCATGTTGTTTTCTTTTTTAGAGTAACGATCATTTTTACTCTTATCCCACAAATCCCACCCATTTATCAGGATCCAGTTAGAATGCCACTTGATCTGCCAAGCCAGCGGGGAGCTCTCTCTTTATCTCCACATTCATCACACTCTGCATACCCATCCTCTGCGTGGTGAGCTGCTCTTTTTACCTTGTGTTACGGAGTCCTTGGGTGGTGCAGATGGTTAATGTGTTCAGCTGCTAACCAAAGGGTTGTTGGTTTGAGTGCACCCATAGGTGCCTCAGAAGAAAGACCTGGCGATCTACTTCTGAAAAATCAGCCATTGGAAACCCTACGGAACACAGTTCTACTCTGACACATATATGGTTGCCATTCAATGTCAACTGGTTATGGTCCTACAGTGTCTCAACTTCCCCCACTCCCACTTGCTCCTCCATCTGTGAGACAGCATATTGTCTGAGGCTAGGGACCAAGCCTAATTCTTCTCGTCTTTCTCCCCTTCACCTAGCACAGGGCCATGCACACAACTAGGGACGCAGCAAGCAACTGTGGCATGACTGAATAAAACGAATACAATCACTGAGCTATTTTGTTGATTTATTT